AGTTATTGTGAGTTTGAAATTGCTTGTTACTTAATCACCGTGAAATTCAATCCATTGCTAGGATTTATCGATTGTAAAATTGTTCTACATACATTGAAATAATTAAATAAATCATTGAAATAGTTTTCATAATTTCTGTAATACATACTATGAGATTTTTTTTGACAGCTAATGTAACTAATATGATTAACTTTGGAAAAGGATTTCTTTCTTCATTTATTTCTGCCTATATTTTTAATAGATATTTTCTATTCAACATACAAAATCCTTCAAATTAATATTGTTTATTCACTAATATAAGTTGACACTGTATCATATTATAAAAGTAAAGATTAAATAATAAATCTCCAACAAATATTATAAGCAACGTATTATATCATGTGAATGTTCATCAATGGTACATAATACATATGTATATATATATATATATATATATATATACAGTAACATTATTTATTATGTATATACTATATACTTAAAGCATCACCAACGTGCTGGGAATCGAGATTCGCCAATAACCTTATCGCTATTGACGTCAACGACTCGATGTGTTCACTAACACTAAACTAGTGTTAAACCTTGGATTTGCTCAATATAAAACACACACACACACACACACACATACACACACACACACACACACACAAACCAACATATATACATACATATATGTATACTGTTCCTAATCATGTTTGTAATATTAAAGGATAATGAATTCAAGACTTTCGCGAGTATTCATTTAAATGAAACTAATATTTTTCGGAATTATATTACGCGTACCTTATTTTAATATTAAGGATATTTTGATCTCATACTTAAATGAGATAACTTCTGTCAATCTATAAAAATACGTATTGATTCTTATCCCTTTAATTACTAAATTTTCTAAAGCTCCCAATTTTATATATATATATCTTACGGTTTAAATAATGTTTCAAGTTTCTGTACCTCATTGCTACCAGTAGTCGGCGCTATGTTTTTTTGTGGTATGTTTTATTGAGGAGTCGAGTGTTGCATTATTAATTACTTGGATCGTCTTCACAGCCTTCGTTGCTAGGAGTTTATGGTCGCAATACAATTTGTTTTAATATCGATTAGAAGTTATTTCATACAAAATATATTTTTCAATGTTTTAAAACTATAGATAATGTTATATGCTATTGTATTGTATAGATTGAAATATAATTTTATTGAAATCTAAGCAAACTTTAGTACGTTTTTTCTTATACATAGGTATATGTTTTTATACTAAACAAAATAACAGTTATATAGTGATATATCACTATCTTTTATATTTATATCTTTGATTGTATGTACTGCAAAATATAGTGGGATACAGTTTAAATCTGTTTTCCAATGTATTAAGATATGTTATACTTTAAAGTATAATCATCTTTATCTTGTTTGCTTGTGTGTTTGTATGTCAACTGTATTTGTTACTAAAAAAATGTTATAATTATTATATATAAATGTCAAGTTTTATATGTGGTTAATAATATAATTGTATTTGTTTTATTAATGTAGGTAAATTGAATTAATATATCCTTCTACGGAGCCTCGGTCAAGGCTTTGTTGCGATGCACGTGTGGTGTTTCCCAAGGAACCAACTTGAACCACATCTTTTCCTATTATATGAAGTTGTTACAACTAACGATCTTACCCTTATTATTAATTTATTATATACATATATATTCTTCTTCTTCCTGGCAATTTCCCAGCTTTAGCCAGGATCTGCCTGTACATATATATCATATTAAGCATATTATTAGTTTTTTAACAATTAAATTAATAATGATACAATTACATATATCGCATCGAGTAATATACATATACATGAATATTTATTTTTTTATATATTATGGAAAATCAATTTATTGTAAGATATATATTTTAATTAACTTTACGTATACCAAAAAAACAAGAGGAGGAAAAATATTTAATAATACACGACCTTACTGCTCGACTTGCAGAAGATTTTAGATATACAAGTTAATTTATTTTTATTTTTAGATTCCATTAAATTTATAATTTATGGCTCGTTTATTTTAATGACTAAGATATGTATAATATTTTACTTGTATTATATATTTTCCTACTAGCTTTTGTCCGCGCCTTTGTCCGCGTTGGTTTCATAATTAGAAATGTATAGCTGACCTTGCAAACTATATCGATTAAGAGGCAGTGAATAAATAGATATTAAATGTTTTATCCTATATTCTTTCCCTTGATCTAAGCTATCTCTCCAACAATTTTCAGCCAAACCCGTACAGTCGTTCTTAAGTTATAAATAGTGTAACTAACACGACTTTCTTTTATATAAAGATGTACTAATGGGTATATTTAAATATGCTTCTTTAATAATAAAAGATCCATTAATGAATCCAGTATAATTACCACAAGTTTTTCGTCATCACACTACACAACGAAAGTTAACACTTTGTCTTACATGCTAGGATTTTTGAATGAACAGTTAACGCCACGTATGTAGTATGAACCACTAGTCAGTTGTGGCCTAATGGTTAGAGGGCCCGCCTCGTTGCCGAGAGCGCGGGTTCGATCCTGGCCCGGGCGAGTACCAATGTGATTTTTCCGAGTCATATGTACTTTCTAAGAATTAAGACGTCACTGATTAATGCTGATTCCCAAAAGAGGGTTGATGTCAGGCAGGCGGCCGGTCGTAAAAAACCATTAGCCAAAACTTTTCACAACACGTAAGGCAGACCCTGGCTATAGCCGGAAAATTGCCAGGTAGAAGAAGATGTACTATGAACACTTAGTAATGCTAGTGATTTGAAATAAATATAATTAGTAAAAAAAGAAAACTTGTAAGTTTGTTCATCAGAAAGAATTACTGAGTCGATTTTGATAAGAGTTTTTACTATCGTATCAATGTCTATAAGAAGATTATTGTATTTGTCATATAGATGTGGTTGTTATAGTAAGAAAACCACAACAATGAGATAATCTAAGTTTAAGTAAATTTGTCTGTCATTAAGATGAATGCATAAGATTTTTGAGTGATGTCTAAATGAAATCAAGTTTTACTATGTAGTATAGTAGTTTTGAAAATTAGTTAAGTTTAACGCGTAGTATGAAAGTAAGAGAGAACTAATTTAGACAGAATAATATGTAACTTAAATATGTAGATATATATAAAAAAGCTTATAGTTGGAATAAAGTGAAACTTTCTAAGACGGTAGGATCGTTTGTACGTGCTAATTTGAATATATAGCTACTGTCTTCAATAGGTGCTAATTAAGTAAACTAGTTCAAGTAACGGATTTTTTAATATACTTTTTATTTTAGAACTAGTCCACTTTCAGAGCATTTATATTTATCTGTTCTATACATTATAATAAAAAAATATTTTAGGGTTACGTGCTCAAATGAGGAGGTTTTAAATTTAATTTCATCGAGATATTAATATATTATGGGATAAAAAACCATTTAAATTTTAAAATATACCAAATTAATATCATAATTTTCGTTATAATTCAAAATGTATTATATTTTTCATATAAAACCTTTTATTAAGTCGGTTAAATCTAATTATTTCGTCACGGAACCCTGACAGCAAATATCTTCACACTCTTCGCTATGTTTAAAAATATAATTATTATGTTAAAACTTTATCTCAGAAGTCACAATGATGGGAAAATATTCAGGATATGTCTATTGAAATTATATATAAATATATGTCTGTTCTTCTCTTAACAAAAAATATTTTTGGTATTTCCTTGATATGTTAAGAGGTATCTTTTCGCGAGAAACTTAATTCGAATTATATTTGCATATGCATGTTGCCCGTCAGCTTTTTTTTTTCCAAAAAAGTCTAATGGCGTTTATTATTTTTAATTTTTAATGTCATGTATATATAGATGTGCTTTTCGTTGAATAATATAATAATTTCAAATAAATAAATTCCTTTGAATTATTTGTTATGTATTTTTTTATTGTCGTTTTACTTTATTTATATTTAAAAACGTTTTTTCGGATTAAAATTTGTTAAATTATTTAAAGTATACTGTAAAGTAGCAGATACGTCGGGACTATGTAGTTTTTATCAAATATAAAGTCACGTAGTACCTCCGAAACATATTAGTTTCATTTAAATGACTCGTGAAAATCTCAGATATTATATTTATACATTATATTTAAAGTATTTTATGACTGTATCCAAATGACATATTTTTTTATTAAATATAATAAACTGATTCTGACGTCATTATACTTAATGTGAGAATTAAAAGATTGCGATATATTTATGATTCATTTCCTAAATAATATTTTGACCATATTTTTCTTTAATTAATGTTAAGTTATCTTAAAAAAACAACCTTAGCTGTGTCATATTTGCTTCATGGTGTCCAATATCACGTATGATGTATAGTTTTTTTTTCTCACGTCAATTGACCTGTCGACATTGAGGTGCTAAAATTTTGGAGGAAAAATGGCGGCAAATGAACGGTTTTAATTATACAGAATCTACCGGTTTGTTTTTTATGTCACTGCGATGGCATTTATTAGTTGGCATAAAAATTAATTCCGTTTTTTTCAGGGATATATAGAACTAGCTTTCCGCACGCAGCTTCGCCCGCGTGGAGTTCGGTTATATCGCGTTTCCAAGAGAACCTTTCAAAAGTCTGGGATAAAAACTATCCTATGTTCTTCCTCAAGGTCAACTCTATCTCTGTACCAAATTTCATTAAAATCAGTTCTGTGGTTTAGGCGTGAAAGCGTAACAGATAGACAGACAGAGTTACTTCCGCATTTATAATATGTATGTATAAGTAAGGATTGATGATTGTGACGTTTCATAAATTTGTATTTCTCTTGTTTCAGAAAATGGAGGAAGCTATAGACAATACGAGGGAACAAGTGACAATTAAATGAAAAAAAAAACAAATAATCAATTCAACTGTGATTGATACACGATCTCTTTGATAACTTCTGTGCGATTTATTGTGTATTGTGTATAAGATATCGTAATAAAAATTAAAATGCCCGCGATATTAACGAAGATAAGGGAGCAGGCGTTTAAGGTACAGCCGACGATTGCTTTGGGGGTTGGAGTTGGTGTGGCGTTGGCGGCCTGCGCTGCTTACGGTGCGAGGGAGAAGAAACCGAGCATCACATGCCATAATAATAATAACTATAAGGTAAACATACATATATTATTAGTTAATCAGTTAAAATACTTTCAAATGAAACGAACCCTCTCATCATTCAATGTATTCACCGTGCGTGTGTCGGGTCCATCGTTGCAGGGAGAGGAGCTTCAACAGTGACTGGGACTTGCGACCCAGGTGTAGGTTTAAAGGACCCCTATCTAAGGCGTTAAACGCTCACCACCACTGTCCAATCTTCTCTCTCTACGTAACTTTTGAAAGTAACTTACTTAAATTTGAAAATTACTTACTAGAACTGACATCAAAGTACGTTCTAAGAATGAATTGATATTAGTTCTGAACGGGCCAAAGATTTTTAGTAGGTTATAGAGAGATTAGGGTGCTATATCTCTCGCTCCTAGAAAATATTTGGAAAATGAAAAAATAATTTGCAATTAATTCCTAAGTCAAATATGTATTGAAACTGAATTTGATATTTCCTTACTAGATACTATAAATCTTTATATATTTACATTTAAACTCAAGAAAACATAATAAGTCAATATAATAACTGTGAATAATGACATAATTATTGTTATTGTATAATGGATGGGCTGGGAACGTAATTTTTAAATTATCGTTGAAATGACTTCCGGGTTATTTAACGCGGGAGCTTGTTTTCTTAATGCACTTTTTAGTTTTTTAAAAATTATATTTTTTGTTTCATACATTTAGTTAACAATGTATGGAAATTAACTGGTTGTGTAAATTACAATAAAGTCTATTTAAATTTAAAGTTGATGATTTTGTGGTACGTTTTGTTGGAATTTGTTGAAAAAAAGTTGTTGGAAATAATTACATTATTATAAAAGAAGTTGTGGTACGTTTTGTTGGAATTTGTTGAAAAAAATTTGTTGGAAATAATTACATTATTATAAAAGAAGTATGATGTATAAAGGATAATTTATCTCTCAGAGTTTATTGTTAGGAATGGTTGGACAGAATAAATAAACCTCTTTTAGTTTTAAATGATAGAAAAAATCTAAATAATTTAAGTTAAAACAAATAATAGTGGAGTATATATTAAAAACTAATTATTAATATTGCTTTTGTGATCTGCCATTTCTTGCCAAATCATATTTATGTGATTATAATCTTTGGAATATGTACATACGACGAAGTCGCGAACTAGCTAGTATTAATTCTTCAATTGATTTAATAGGTATATACATATTTTTTAATGTAGCCATAAAAATATTTCTAGAATTTTGAATATTTATATTATAATTGAAATAAAATATTCACATAATAATTTTGTACATTTTGAGTTTTTTTAATGGGATAAAAAAAGTGCATTCAATTTAAATTATTTTAAGTCTTTTGCTCAAATGCGTATTATTTTACTTCCAAATCTTTATTAGATTAACAATTAAATTAACATTGAACAATATAAGTGTAAATAATTATGTAATATAATCTTCTTCTACCTGGCAATTTCCCAGCTTTAGCCAAGGTCTGCTTTACATGTTGTGAATAGTTTTGGATAATTGTTTTAACGACCGGCCGCCTGCCTGACATCAACCCTCTTTGGCAATATTATATAATATAATATCGGCGTGGTAACCCGGCTCCAGTGAAAGCCCGGCGTCGTCGGGGCAGTCCTAATTGCCGGGATCGCCCCCGTACTCCGAGGGAGTAAGTCCGGTCTTTGCCAGGACCGGCCAGTCGCTGGTGTGCCCTATCGCTGACAGATCCGGGGTACACCGACATAGCGGCCGATGGCTTTCGCAGTGGTTTTAGTAAGTAGGGGCCTGCCCAGGTCGAGCCTCACACATCCCTTCCGGCCCCACCAAGGCCGGTTGGACGGCTCGTAAAAAGAGTTTCCCAAATCAAAAAAAAACTCTGGCTGTATAAACGCGATCTTTTAATGTCATATCTGACGTAAGTAACGTTCTTCACATCTAACCTCACGAAAAAAAAAACAGCAGAGATACAATCTAATTATTAGTATTTTATTTAAATATATTTTAAGATTAATATATATTTTTGATAAATTTGTAGTACTAAATATGTTTTTACTGTTATTCTCGTATTCATAAGCTATATGGGTCATTCTACAGTAATAGTACTCGTCAGCGACACATTTTACGTAGCATAATTAATAATATTTTGTTACTAAATCATTAAGTAACACCTCACAAAGTGTTTCATTTATTACCCATATTTTTACAAATAATTTTATTTAAAATAAATCTGAAATCTCTCATAAAGTCCCCAAAATATTAGTCCCTATGTATGTATGTTTGCACTACAAAAGTTTATGTTTCGGCAACCATATTTATAGTTATACTAACTTACCGCCCGCAGCTTCGTCCGGGTGGAGTTCGGTTATATCGAGTTTCCAAGAAAACTTTTCAAAAGTCTGTTATAAAAACTATCCTTTGTTCTTTCTCCAGGTTTACTCTATGTCTGTACAGAATTTCATTAAAATCAGTTCATTGGTTTAGGTGTGAAAGCGTAACAGACAGACAGACAGAGTTACTTTCGCATTTATAATATTAGTAGGGATCAACTGTAGGTATACTTTATTTGATATAACAATTATCTAATTTATCGTGCATACACTAAATATATATGTATATTGTTATATTGTGTAATTGTTTAAAAGTAATTTCAATTATAATGGCAAATAAAATTTTGATTTAAAAAAGTTCTTATAATTTAAAAAAGTTTTTAATTATGTATATTTCAACATATTTACTTATTACAAAATGTATATCAAATTTGGTGTGACAATTTATACGAGGGACGCACCATAATTTTAATTTTAAGTAAAGTTATAAAGCCTTTCTACTCAAGTAGAGCGCCTTGAGCCAGCTAAGCCATTGATAGAACGTACTGGAAGGTTTGAATGTATACAAAATAATAACATATATATATATATATATATATATATATATATATATATATATATATATATACATACATACACATACATATACATATAATAATATATTTTACATTATTTGAATACAATAACTTTGAAAAACAATACGAAAAAAATTCACATGGCAACGAATAAGTATTTTTTTATTCTTCTACCTGGCAATTTCCCAGCTTTAGCCAGGGTCTGCCTTACATGTTGTGAATAGTTTTGGCTAATTGTTTTTACGACCGGCCGCCTGCCTCACATCAACCCTCTTTTGGGAATGCATTATTTTTTTATTATAAATCAAAAGACGGTAGTATATCCCTACTAATATTATAAATGCGAAAGTAACTGTCTGTCTGTCGGTCTGTTATGCCACCACTGAACTGATTTTAATGAAATTTGGTACAGAGATAGAGTTGACCTTAAGAAAGAACATAGGATCGTTTTTATCCCAGACTTTTGAAAAGTTCTCTTGGAAACGCGATATAACCGAACTCCACGCGGGTGAAGCTGCGGGCGGAAAGCTAGTTAATAATATCTTTTAGTATACTATATATATTTTGTTTATACCAAATCTGTTTTAATATCTCTGCCATGAAAGTTTCGTAACACTGACGGTATAGGTGACCTCGAACGTATCTTTTTTTCGTAGAAGTTCATTTGATATATATATTTTGTTTATTTATATGACTATATCAACTTGGAATTTTCTTAAGGTCGATACAGAAAATACATTAAAATGAAGAAGAGATATTGTTTTTCAAAAACCATATATATTTACATAATGACATACTTTCGTGAGTATTCATTTAAATGAAACTAATATTTTTGCGTTCATGACGCGTTTTGTTATTATTTTTTGACAGGCAAACGATATGAAAATCATCTTGTCTGTCCGTGATCACGATTGCTGCAAAGTAACCGAAACTTCGAGAGCATGTAGTATAAAATAATAAAGTAATCCGAAAATATTATTTTTTACCCTTTTTTTCAATCTGTCAAATTTGATGTCAAATAAAATCAATATGGCGGAATGTAGATTAAAAAAGTTCAAAAGACTATATTCAAACTCAGCCTTGATACAGCCAACGTATTTTTTATCATCGCTTCACACAAAAACATTGTTCGGTTCAACAAACTTGCAACAATGGAGTGAATTTTTTTATATTAATGAATGAAAAAATATATATTACATTACATTATTCATACAGTAAATATTATTGTAAATACATTTTATCGTGTCATTGTTTTAACAAAGAAAAATATTTGTTAATATTTTATCAGTATAGTAAGTACTAATATAATTCAGTGGTGGCATAGTGGTTAAAAGGCCCGCCTCTGATGCACGAGGGCGCGGGTTCGATCCTGGCCCGGGCAAGTACCAATGTGATTTTTCCGAGTCATATGTACCTTCTAAGAGTATTTAGACATCACTGATTAATGCATTCCCAAAGAGGGTTGATGTCAGGCAGGCGGCCGGTCGTCAAAACATTTAGCCAAAACTATTCACAACATGTAAGGCAGACCCTGGCTATAGCTGGGAAATTGCCAGGTAGAAGAAGTATGGACTAATATATGATGGAGATGAAGTCAATATTATCGTGTTAATTATGATTTCGACGGTCGGTGGATGCAATGAAAACAAAATTGAAATGACTTTAAAGAAAAATAACAACTAATTGGTTCGACTATATTGTAAGAAGGGTGAACAAATAGTGACACAATATTATAAAAAGAAATATTTAACTAAAAAGTCTCTTCACACGGAACTGCTGAGTCAGACCCGTGTAGAATGAAGGTTTATTTAGAAGCTAAAGGCGGCCTGTTATTACACCGTTATTATCTTTATATTTTAATTAAACGATCACTATCACACCGTTATACCATATTGAATATCTCTTGTTTGTATTGCAGGTAGCTAAAAATGGTCAATTGGAAGCCGTGTCGAATGGTGAGGCTACCACTTGTGGTGGTAGGTGTGGGGCTGCTCAATGTGCTCTGTGCCGCGGTGAAGTGGACACAGACAACAAACAAAATATTGTAAGTGTATATATAGTTGACTAGTTTTTGCCCGCGACTTCGTCCGCGTTAGTTTCGTCATTAGTAATATATGTATAGCTGAGCGGGCGAACTCTATTCCGTTTTAGACGCCATTAATAATCAGGTTTCTCCTGTTTCAATCGAACAGAATGATTGACATATTAGTTAGTTGTCAAATCTAATGTCAAAGAAAACGTTTGTATGGGAAATAGAAAAGGGCTGTTTTTATGGTTTTCCCGGAAATGAATCAATTTTTTTCAGCTTTCAAACCTTCCCTGGTCCTACACGAACATTTCATGACTAAGATAAGGTAAATCCGTTGAGCCGTTCTCGAGTTTTAGTGAGATTAAGGAACAGCAATTCATTTTTATATATATAGATATATACAGGGTGACTGGTGAATTACTATCAATATTTAAGGAGAATACTCGGTACATGATTCTCATTCGAATTATGTAAAAAAAGTAGGCACTTAATTTTTGACAAAATTTCCGTATAAATAAATAAAGTGTTGACACGTTCCAAGTGTTCCAAGTGTGGACGCGTGCTGATACAATACCACGCCGCCGCACGCGTATGTGTGAGTGTGTGTGTATACCTAATCTGTAGGGTATTCACACGATGCGTAATTAATTACACAACTTTTGGTTAACTTTACTTAGAAGTTTATTAATATTTATGTTATATTAATTTTTATTTTGTCATATATGATCGTCAAATATCACGTCCTCAAGTATCGATAGTAATTCACCAGTCACCCTGTAGTTTAGAAGAAACAACAAGTATAGATGAGACCATAATTCAATGTGTATGTGTTAGGTTAGGTTGTCAAACTTTCTTGGGCTAGGTTTAATGACATTTGAACCATATGTATTTTTTTTATTTGAAATAATTGTTAACAATATTAATTAGAATCAAGTTTAAAACAACAACCACATTATATTAAGGTAAACTGTACTTAAACAATAACTAAATAAGGAAATTGCCCGCTCACGCTTTGAACAATTGGTTAGCATTATTTTCTTTCTTAGAACTGTTTTCGTTTATCCTTCAAGGAAAATAGAAGTAAATGGAATGGAAAATATCCAATGACGCTTGAATACATATTACCTTAATAATATTAATAATATTTATTGTACAAAATTAAATTAACAACTGTTAGACTTATATTACAAATGTACAATATTTATGGCCATCGCTAGAAAGAGATCTCTTCCAACAAAGAGTAATATATACAAGAGATATGATGGAAACATAAAAATAACTCATAAATTCCAATAGTAAACATTTAATTATTAAATATTAATAATACACAGTAAGTTTTATAGTTAATAATCAGAAGTCTTACTTTACATACACATATAAAATAGACGTTGGTAATAAGAAAATGATTAACCAATGACCATTCCATTTATTGTATATAAAAAAGAAAAAAGCAAAGATTTTTGAAAAATATGGATATTTTTTTAAATGACCAGTGTCGTAAATATATATGTATATGTATTTTCTTATTTCGGAGTAAACTTCGTCGGGTTAAACCTTCAACGTCTTTTACGTTATAATGTTAAATTATTAATGTGTTTTTCCCGTTTACAATTTATTTAATTAATAAAATGTCATATCATTTTATTATGTTACATTAAATTAATAATAACTATGTATTTTCATATATATATATATATATATATTACTATATGACTGTTTATTCCGAGTATATAATTAGTTGAAAGTGTTAACTGTACAACTTTCAGTTTGTCGTCATTACCAACTTTCTTCGTTTTATCTAGGTTCTACAATTTCTCTAGTCGGTATGTAAATTGTCTTGTTAAATTGCAGGGAATTATATTGAAGATATTTCTTGCGGCTTTGTTCATTAACGGGATGTCACTACTAATTCGTTATACTAAAACAACGTTTAAATTAAATGTCCGATTTAATTTATAGTTCAGTAGTAAGTGATAAATAAAACAAACAAACATTCATGAAAAAAACGTTGGTTTCAATGATTATTTTTAAGATTTTCGTCCTGTTTGAATCTTTAGATGACATACAGGATACGCTTACTAAAAGTTTGTACCGTCACTATATACGTAGCGTTAACAGTATTTCATTCATACATCACACATTAGTATTAACGTAAGTTATTGAATAAACGGGAAACGTTACGTTTTATAGTGAGACCATTAAAATTAGCATTAAGCGTACTGTTCTACATTAACTTCGAATATAAATGTATATACGCATGTATATTATAGGTAATATATTATATTTGATCCGAATCATATTTCAGACATCAATGTTATATGATATAATTGTTATTACGCGATGTAAATTTATAATCAGCATCGGTTTTAATATTAATTATATAATAAAAAAATCCTCTAATAAATATCATGTTTTTATAAGCTTGTATTGTATGTTAGTTTGTATGTAACCAAAATCTTTGAACTTTTCCACTATTTCTAGTGATTGATTTTTTTTAAACTTTACACCTAACAGTGACTGGTCATAATGCCATAAAGCGTAGTGATATTTTTTTTGGTGATACGAGCATCCCACGATATTTTCACAATAATATAAAAATGTTTTGCTTATATGGAAATTATTTTCAACTTTCTAGTTTGATGTCATGCAATAAAAGTGTTTTTATATATACATAAACAGGGTGACTGGTGAATTACTATCAATATTTAAGGAGCATACTCGGTACATGATTCTCATTCGAATTATGTAAAAAAAATAGGCACCTAATTTTTGACCAAATTTCCGTATAAATAAATAAAGCGTGGACACGTTCCAAGTGTTCCAAGTGTGGACGCGTGCGGCGGCGTGCTGATACAACACCACGCCGTACACGCGTGTGTGTGAGTGTGTGTGTATACCTAATCTGTAGGGTGTTCACACGATGCGCAATTAATTACATAACTTTTGGTTAACTTTACTTAGAAGTTTATTAATATTTATGTTATATTAATTTTTATTTTGTCATATATGATCGTCAAATATCACGTCCTCAAATATCGATAGTAATTCACCAGTCACCCTGTATATTGTTTTGTGTATTAGATACTGTTAAATTTGTTGAATTATTTTTACTAGCCTTAGTTTAAGATCTTGTATATTTAGTTATCTTCCTTTGTTGTATTTAACCAGGACAGGGCATTAATCAGTGACTGATAATTTATAAGTACTTGTAAGTACAATTATGTCTTATGTTCTAATAGTGGGCAAGTGTATATATTTATAAATAAACAAACATAACTCATTTCTAATTATTTTAATATATTTCACTGAACATATTTAAATGTTAAAAAATCAGATTACACTATACATTATAATAAAAAATAATTCAGCTTTTTATATTTTAAAGATTAAACATATATCTTTATCTTCGTCACTTATATTAAATAAGACAATTTCAACTGCTACTTATCCCAATAATACTCAGTAAAACTAGTGAAATATTTTCCGAAGTCAGTGTAAATATATGTCGATACACTTCTCTTTCTACTAAATTAATATTATCTTTATCAATTCCAGGAAGATGCAGACGAAACTCAATCAGTGGAAGAGCACGTGCCAGGGTTGAACCTTGAGTTCCTCAAACAGATCGTCAGCCTGGCGAAGATCATGGTCCCAGGATTTAGGAGCCACGAGGTCGCCTTGCTATCGGCTCATACCGTCTGCCTGTTCTCTAGAACCTTCCTCTCTATATATGTGGCTTCCTTGGAAGGATCTATAGGTAACTTGACTTGTATAATATGTTTTATTTGCTTCGTTGTTGATTTTTTTGTCAAATATAGGAATATGGTTTATAGAGGTCAGTAATTTTTTGGACATTTCCATCCATTACATGGCAAAATTTTTCTTCGACTAAACATATGTTATGTTAAAATTTGTATCATGTTTCAAAGAATCTTAAAAGTTAAGTTTATTCAAATATATACTAGGAATTTCAGTGAGTTTTGCTCATTTCTATCGATTACACGAAAAAAAATTTGCTCTCCCTAACACGACACCAAATATTACTAGACGAACTGTTGATCCAATTGTCTTATGAGGTTTTTTGTTCACCAGTGAGACACATAGTCCAAAAGGACCTTAGGTCTTTCGCGGCGCTGTTGATGCAGTGGTTCGGTATCGCGATACCAGCTACCTTCATCAATTCCATGATCAGGTACCTGGAGAGCCGACTGGCGCTCGCCTTCCGCACCCGCCTCGTTAACCACGCGTACGAACTATACTTCAAGAACCAAACATACTATAGAGTCGCCAATTTAGATGCTAGGATAGAAAACGCTGATCACAGGTAGGCTGAAACGTTTACGAAATAAATGTATTTATTAGTATGAATGTAATATAAATTTGATTTCTTTAAAATTCACTCCATTTATGGTTTAATGATGTTATTAAAAAAACCTTTAATATTTCTGCAAACTATTGATTATACAGCATGTCATATATTTACACCACTCATAATTTTAATAAAATAACATTTATATTCGAAGTCTTAGGTACCAATGGCTTCGTAAACCGAATAAAAAATGTGCAACATTTAATTTATCATAATGTAACTTATATAAAAAAATAGAATCAAATTTGTAATCACGACTATATTAAGACGAGACCAACGTTTAATTGTAAATTTCTTTTCGGTTTTAAGAATTTTTATAATCTTTTACTTTTTCTACGTCTTTATCTTATCTTTACTTTTTATTTTCCAGATTGACAGAAGACGTGTCAGTGTTCAGTCAGTCAGTGGCTCATCTGTACAGTTCACTAACGAAGCCCTGCTTCGACCTTCTACTGATAGTGTTGACACTCGCCACATACTCCAATAAGATGAAAGGAAATATATTCCTTGGTGCGAAAATTGTTAAGACATATATGATACTAGCTTTCCGCCCGCAGCTTCGCCTGCGTGGAGTTCAGTTATATCGCGTTTCCAAGAGAACCTTTCAAAAATCTGGGATAAAAACTATACTATGTTCTTTCTCAAGATCAACTCTATCTCTGTACCAAATTTCATTAAAATCAGTTCAGTGGTTTAGGCGTGAAAGCGTAACAGACAGACAGACAGAGTTACTTTCGCATTTATTATATTATTAGTAGGGATATGTTTGTTTGTAAACTTCTCAGAAATTAACATACAGTCAGTGTTTTTAATACTTATTAAAGAGATATCGTGCTATGAATAAAAATACCCTTTATAATACTGGTAACTTTGCGGTATAAAATTAGTCTATACATATGTAATGTCATGAAATAATTTTCATCCTTTAATTTAATTAATTGTTTCATTATGATTTTCTTTTAATGTTTAAAAGCTTCAGTAATAATAAAAAACAGTTTATAAAAATAATTTTAGAAAATAAGCATATTCTTTTAAATCAATATTATAGAAGATGAGGGAGGGTATTTGCAAAAAGAGATACTTATTTAAATCTTGGGAGTAGTTTAATATAAATAATAACCATTTTTCCCTGAGAAATATCTTAATTAAGTTAATCTACTATATTGAATATTTTTCTTATAATTATAATATATATGTGCAGGTCCGGGTATAGCGACGGTGGTGATCTGCCTCACGGGCCAGCTGCTGCGGATCTTGAGTCCCAGGTTCGGTGCCCTGGCCGGGGAGGAGGCGCGCATGAAGGCCAACCTGCGACACGTACACTCCAGACTGATAGCTCATGCTGAGGAAGTTGCCTTCTATGGTGGACATAAGGTATATATATATATACCTATATATATATTAAAAATATAAAAAAAACCCGCTGAGTTTCTTTCGCCGGTTTTTCTCAGGTCAGGGTGTTTTGTTTTCCGAACCGGTGGTAGTGTCTCAAGTGACCATCAATAAGAAAGTGTAATGATTCTATATTGAATAAAGTTATTTGAGTTTGAGTTTATTGTTAGTAATTCGATCAGAATCAATTGTATTAAAAATAATCTTCAATACAATATCACTTTTAATTTATTAAATTTACACAATACTTAAAAACAATGTTAAATTTATAACTTTCAGCTATCTCGATTTAAAAATTATTGTGAAATGAAACCGAAATATAGAACAAACGAAAGATTTAAATACACTCTGAATTATATCTAATATCAATTAATTTATCACCAACGCGCGTTACCAACGAAATGAGTCCTGATCTCCTCTGATAACTGCTTAGATATCGTTCGCCCCTCTCTTACCCTCACATATTCCTACAATATGATTCTTAGTATGGAAAATAATTTTATATTTTGTCATACACTTTAGCTGTCCATATAATTTACTTGACAACATATTATTTATTTCATTACTAAGACTTGTGGTTAGCTTGTCTTAATGCCAAATAAGAAATTTCAATTATTATAAATATCAAAAATTAGTTCTATTAATTTTTTTTAAGAGATCTAAGACTTTCGCGAGTATTCATTTAAATGAAACTTTTTTTTTACTATTACATACTCCAGTTTCGTTTATTTGCTTCGAGCATTATTACGGACGTACTGAATGATAATTATTTTTATTAAAGACATCCTTAATATAATATTCCAGGTAGAACTAAGCCAGTTACAGTCAGCATATAAAGAATTGGTCGCTCAGATGACGTCAGTGTTCAATAAGAAGCTGTGGTACGTGATGTTGGAGCAGTTCTGTATGAAGTATGTGTGGTCCGGCACTGGAATGGTGATGTTAGCACTGCCCATACTTACAGGGACCAGGATAGATGGTAAGTACTACATATATATAATTATAAATAAGTTATATGATGGTAGAACCTCGATATGGACATGTTATGATAATTCAAACATGGGCTGAAGTACCACCCTCTCACAGAAAATCGGCGTGAAGTAGTCTTTAATGACTGCGTTTTCTATGATGCGTGAGAGAGACGATTGCACTTTCTATATTCCTGTCTCTCTTCCACAATTAAGGTTTGCAACATTTCATATGTTGCAGATGTCAATGGAAGTCTTTGAAATATAAAAATGTTTGTTATCCCATTCTCCTCTCTATAGTACACTAACCACAATATTGTTATACTGAATAGTGACCATTTTTTAATTTATAAATCTTCTCACAAGATTACACTATCGGAGGATTATCAATGATGTGAAATAACTACAAAAATTCTATTTATATATGACAATGAATTTATATACTAAGAATACATAACTGTTTAGTTTAATAATGTTTCCTATACTAATGATATTTTAATTCTCCAGGCAGTACAGGCGAGGGTATCAGCGCCAGGACGGAGTACATGACCACGTCCAGGAACCTGCTGAACTCAGCCGCGGACGCTATAGAGAGGCTCATGTCTAGTTACAAGGTATACCAACTATCAATATCCCTACTAATATTATAAATGCGAAAGTAACTCTGTCTGTCTGTCTGTCTGTTACGCTTTCACGCCTAAATCATTGAACTGATTTTAATGAAATTTGTCTAGAGATAGAGTTGACCTTGAGAAAGATCAAAAAATAGTTTTTATCCCAGACTTTTGAAAGTTTCTCTTGGAAACGCGATATAACCGAACTCCACGCGGGCGAACCTGCGGGTGGAAATCTAGTATTATATTATATAGTCAACTACCCACATTCTGAATATAATAAATATGTATAATGGCATTAATAGTTGTAATCTATTATCTCTTAGTGAGAAGTATCTCAATGAGTATTTCTACTTATAAAGTTAACTACTTGTTACTGCTGTATAAATAATGTAATATATTAATAATAAAGTGATAAATTTTGTATAAATTATTGAGGGAATATTGTTTATTGTATTATAAAATTTGACTTAAGGACCATCATAATCTGATACTTTATATTGAATGCTTCACCATTATATCTTGACCTGTATTCTGCCCTGCCTGTAGGAGATCGTCACTCTGGCCGGTTACTCCCGCCGCGTGTCAGACATGCTGGTCGTGTTCGGCGAGGTCGCTAGAGGTCGTTGTGTGCGAGCTGTTCACGTCTCGTCTCCTAACACCAACGGGTTTCAAGTCACATTCAAGGACGGACAGCCGGTTCCGCAGGGTGAGTTATATACACATATTAATATATAAAGTTTGGATTAGCTTGTAAAACTTCATAATTCTAAATGTTGCTTGTCCACTAAATTTGGTAATAAAGTATTACGATATTAAATTATACGTGTATCAAATAGAAGTTAAAAAAATATTGAATAGTATTAATAAATTAATATAGAACAAATACGTATTTCAGCTAATTTCACGATATTTACACTGTTTGCTTCGCTGCATAGCAACAATAACATGTGCTTGTGCTCACTATCTTTCTCTCTCCTACTTTCTATATTTGTGTATCTTTATTTCTCACTCCCACAGCGTAAACGTTTAACTCAACCTTGTTGGGAGTAACATAAGAATTTTCATTTCAATTAAGTTGTATATTATATCAAAAGTCTTTTTGTGCTTAATTCAGGCCCAACTGAACAGTTTTTTCTTATTATTACTGAGATTTATGAAAATATGAATTCTATACAAGTATGAATTCTTTATAAATGGTATTCTTTAATATATGGAAGTCATTAAAATATTAATATAAATTCCAGGTAAAATTTCGTACACAACGGATCTGTCGATACATTTACGTAACGTGCCAATAGTGACCCCGTCGTGTGACGTGGTCGCTAGCGGGGTGACGCTGGAACTCCGGCCCGGGACGCATCTACTTATTGTTGGACCTAACGGATGTGGGAAGTCCAGGTCAGTGAATAATCCAGATAAATCTACTTCTACCTGGCAATTTTCCAGCTATAGCCAGGGTCTGCCTTACATGTTGTGAATAGTTTTGGCTAATTGTTTTTACGACCGGCGGCCTGCCTGATATCAACCCTCTTTTTGGGAATTAACATTAATCAGTGATGTCTAAATACTTGTAGAAAGTACATATGACTCAGAAAAATCACATTGGTACTTGCCCGGGCCAGGATCGAACCCGCGCCCTCATGCATGAGAGGCGAGCCTTTTAACCACTAGGCCACCACCGACTGACTGACTGACTAAAATATAACACTACGAAATTTTCGCTCATAGATTAGAGATATGTTTTTTTGCAGTTATGGCACGTATAGGTAACTTTCATACATGTTTTTGTATTATCTAAATATGCATGAAAATAACTGTAAAGTAACTCTAAAGTAACGCCGTTTGTTGTGGTATGTTTTTTTGCTAGATGATTTATGGTTAATTGTTCTTCTTTAAATGTACTTCTTAAACCAACACATTAAATATACCTTTAGAAAGCTATATTAAATATACCTTTCATACATCCAAACGATCTAAAACCTTATTCTATAAAATTATCCTGGACTAATGTTAGTAACAACTTATATTTAATCCTATATACTTAGTCTCTCTGCTGTATATATATATGTATGTATGTTTCTCCCACAGCTTGTTCCGCATCATCTCCGGTCTTTGGCCAGTGTTCGGAGGCGAGCTGAGCGTGCCTCGTCCGTGTGAGTGTGCTCATTGCGCTGAGCACGACGCGCCGGGGACACCCCCGGAGAGGTGCCTCGCTAGACCCGTCATGTTCTATATACCGCAGAGGTGAGACTTAGACTACACTGGTCTTAGATTAGACTAGGACTGATGATGTTATAAACAGATGACCTGATCGATTTTTTGAAAACATTTGTTATTTAATACTATAATTATGATTGTGGCGTATAATATTCAGCCATTATTCTCAATGTGTGATGTCAAACTATTCTTATCTTCTATTCGAGTTCTAATCAAATATTGCGACTAAAATTCATATCTTAGATTTCAGTTAATTTTTTATATTAAAAATAATTGAGTATTGAGAGACTGGCTTTTTATAATGTGTTCTATATGTTTTTTATATATGAACTTATTTTTAAGTGTTTTTTTCGACCATCATTCTAATATATTACGTATTTCCATGTAATCTCTATACCATATTAATCCTATTAATCCTCTATGTATATCCGTAGGCCGTACATGTCTGAGGGTTCGCTGATCGACCAGATCACGTATCCATCCCGCGCGGGCCCTGAGGACCTTGCAGCGGAGGCCCGCGCGGCCCACATCCTACGAGTCGTGCGTCTGGACGCGTGTGCCGCCAGACACGGGGGGCTGCGGGCCGTGAGGGACTGGAGGAGCACGCTGTCTGGGGGCGAGAAACAGAGGGTGGCGTGCGCTAGGATGTTCTACCACAGGTGATACTATGAATATGATGATTGTATTATAAATTAAATCAGTTCCTATATTAATACAGTAATACCCCGCTTAACGCGACCCTGTTGTGCGCGGTTTCACTATAACGCGATTTTCAAAAATTTATTCAGGTTGGGATATTGCAGAGTATACAATAATGATGACCGTGTCTTGAACGTGTGACAAACGATTAAAAACAGTGTTTGGTGTTATGAACGTACGAGGGGAGGTCAAAAAGTTCGCGGAATGGAGGGGATGGAGGGGGTTGATTTACTCGTCCAGGTAGTAACTTGTTCAACACCTCATTAATAGTATATATACCAAGTTTGAACCAAATCGGGTCATTAACTTTTGAGTTGTTGACCTGCAAACAAGTGAATCGGGAAGAAGTCAGTGAGTATGGAGAAAATTGAACACCGCGCCGTTATTAAGTTCCTCACCAAGCAAGGAAAATCCGCTCAGATAATTTTTGAAGAGCTGTTATCAGTTTACGCGGACTCTGCCCCTGGTAAAACCATGGTTTACAAGTGGCATGGACTTTTTAAACAAGGAAGAGAGTCCATTGAAGATGACGCCCGCTCCGGACGACCGATTGAGGCCACCACACCGAAAATCGTCGCAAAAGTAGAAAAACTTATATTGGAAGATGCCTGGTTGAAGAAGAAACGGCTTGGAGCAATGGTTAGAGTATCTGAAAAAAGCATTTTTAATATCCTACATCATCATCTTGGGATGACTAAGGTCAGTGCAAGATGGATTCCAAGAATGCTCACGCCACTTCAAAAGAGCGATCGTGTCGAGTGTTCTCGCCAGTTTTTGAAGCTCCGTGGAGAGAATAAGGACGAAGTTATGGACCGGATTTTTACTGGTGACGAAACCTAGGTTCACCACTATGAACCTGAATCGAAGCAAGAATCGATACAGTGGCATAAAAAAGGCACAGCTCCTCCAAAGAAGTTTAAAGTGTCACAATCGGCCGGAAAGATCATGGCGACTATCTTTTGGAATACAGAAGGTATTTTGCTGATCAATTATAAAGATCGTGGTGTGACTATAACGGGACAGTACTACGCTTCTTTATTAGATAGATTGAAAGAAGCTATCAAGGAAAAAAGAAGAGGAAAGCTGTCAAAAGGTGTGCTCCTTTTGCACGACAACGCAACAGTCCACACGTGTCATGTTGAGACGGCTGCCATTCACCGATGCGGATTCGAAAAACTACACCACCCACCTTACAGTCTAGACTTAGTCCCCAGCGACTATTATTTGTTTTCAAAAATGAAAAAAAAGCTGCGGTGAAAAATATTTGAGAAGTCAAGTCCGCAATTTCGGCCTATTTTGATAGCCGAGATAAATAATTTTTTTCGAATGTATTAATAAATTATTTGTGAGATCCGAAAAATGTATTAAGGTTAAGGGAGACTATATTGAAAAGGAAAAATAGTTTCGTGTTAAATTTCAACCCCCTTCCCGCTCATTCCGCGAACTTATTGACCTCCCCTCGTATTTTACAAGAACGTAAACAAAACGCTACCCAAAAGACAATACATGTATTTTTTCGTAAAAATTAGGAGTGCCCATGTATTGTATAGTGTTCTTAGAATTAAAGTGATTGATTAAAATGATTTTTATATTTGTGTTTTAAATTTTGACTGTGTTTAATCATAAACCTCGATATACGCGAATTTCAGTTAACGCGATTTTCTTCGGAACGTATACCTCGCGTAAAGCGGGGTATTACTGTATTAAACTTCAGAGTGGCTTAATGCTTTAAGATGTATGTTTGTATGTAGCGTTTGACGAAAACTGCTTAACGGATTTTAGAATAATGGATATTAATTAAAATTCCTGTTTGATAAAGAACATTTTATTAGTTTATGTATTTTATATGTAGTCACGTGTCGCAAATAATAGATGGCGGTGAAAGTTGGTTGCGCAAATATTTCTTTATGCATTAATAAGCAAATTCTCCCAGAACTCAATTACTTGATACACGAAGTCGCTGGCATTCACTAGTAAATAATATCGATAAATTATATTTTTCGATATATTTATTGACAAATTGTAATGAATATTGTTTTGTTGAATTCAACTATCTCATATCTTTTTTATGTAAATTGTAACAATTTTAATTCTAACACCGATTTAGTGCTGAAAAATATTTCATATTTCCAGTGAAATCTTTTGTCATGAAAAAAAAAAAACAAAAAAATTTTTATCAAACATATAAATTGATTACTACTTAATTATATTTAAATACATAAATGTCGAAATAAAATTATATAACCAAACTTTTTTCCTTTTTGTATAAAATTTTCTACTCAGTATTTACCATATAGATATAAGAGTAACTGTATATAATGTATTTATTGTATGTGTGTGTGTAGGCCGGTGTACGCGCTGCTGGACGAGTGCACGAGCGCCGTGTCCATGGAGACGGAGGTGGTCATGTACGAGGAGGCCGTCAAGGAGGGCATCACGCTGCTGTCCATCACGCACAGGCCGAGCGTGTGGTTAGTACACACGCACACACGCACACATTTATAGACTGTAATGTCCATATGACAAGTCGTGGTGGTCTAGTGGTTAAAGGCCCGTCTCTTATACATGATAGTCATATGTACTTTCCAAGAGTATTTACACACCACTGACGGACGGTGAAAGAAAACATCGTGAGGAAACCTGGACTTAGAATTTCACAATTATAAGTTTGAAATTACTAACCCGTCTTGAGCGAGCGTGGTGATAAATGCTCTAACCTTTCTCCATGTGAGAAGAGGTCTTGCTCAGCAGTGGGCTCTGATAGGCTGATGATAATGATGACGACACACACATATACAATAAATACATATATATATTTATATATACAGGATATAAAAAAGGGACAGAGTAGGGACAGTAGAGTAGGAACACTATAGCTCACTTGGCAGAGTGGCTATAATGAAACAGACGAAGTCGCAGTTTCAAAACCTGATAATGTGTATTAACTATCTAGTTGAACTTTAATTTCGGCTTTTAAGTTGTTACTAATAGGAATCGTTGCTCATTTTATTCAAATACATGCCTTCATAATATCGTGTTTTATGAAAAACTGTAACTGTGTTATGAATGAAAAACTATGTATTGAATTTGATCATACTCATTTAAGGTCATTTATGAAGAGATGTATCGATGGAACTTAAAGAATGCTTTTGCTACATTTTAAATCAAAGTAACAACACCTTGGTTTCAATTCTTCTTTACTTTTTAAAATATTTTTTTACATGATCTTTCCATTTTTTTGTAGTCCCGTATTATAAAAAACCTTATATTTGCTTCAAATATGTTTTTGGCAATAGTAACCAATCATTCCAAGTAGACGCTGGTATCCTAATATTAATGAGAAAGTATTAAAAAATATAAGAAATATAACATGAACCTTTATTACTTCTGTTAATATTTAGAAACTGATATATCTAAATATACTCTATATATTTCTCTTATAATTCCCCAGGAAATACCACACCCACGTCCTGGAATTCGACGGAACCGGAAACTGGTCGTTCAGACCCTTGGAGAAGGACGCTGCGGCCATCACACCAGCACTACCAAGAATCAGTGAGGTTAAAGAAGAAGATACAAAAGAACCCACTATTAACTGATAGAGAACTTCACCCTATATACAGCGTGTAGAAATTTGTACATATGTGATAAGGACATATACAGGATGTTCACTGATAGTGAAATAAAGATTGTGATGATATAGTTTTGTATTGAAAGTTATTTAGTTATGATAAGTGAGATTAAGGTAACCTGATAATCCGATCCAAACATACATATGACTTGTAATTATATATAAATAATAATTGGCTCATAAATTGTTATATAATAACTTTTTTAAAATTTGATTTGTATGTAACAGATAATGAATTTTTTGTTATATCAAAATGGCTGTAAGAATTTTTAATACGTATCGTTGTGTTAATTGTGTTGTATTTTGTTTTCTGAATCGAGACAAGTAAAGTGTAAAGTGACGTAGGGATGTGATAAAATAAAGGGGTTATATAAATATATTTTATTTCGTATTATTTCCTTTTTAACCTTATTTAATTACTTTCAATCAATAATTTATATTATTTTGAAGGTAAGACGCGAATGTGCAAAATAATACATACTATTGACTGGATATTCTGGAAAAACAATATTCAAATCTAGTTTATATTGATAAAGTTCGTAGTATTTTATTCGAAAGCTAAATATTAAATGTAGGATCTCATATAAAATATACATATACGATATATTATATTTTGGCATTTTTTTATATTCAAACTGCTTTTTAATTAAAGGCTTAGGCCTCTGAAGAATTATTGAAATCAAAATTCTTTCAGAGGGATAGAAAGTTTTGTAGACACTAGGTAAAAAGGTTTATAATGTGCACTAAAAAAAAGATTACTTTTTCATTGAAGTTACTTAAGATTTATTAACAGACAAAAATAGAAGTTTGATCTTAAATTAAACACAAGCAGGCGATAATGATTTTTTGAAGGCCTATGATAGAGTGTAGCATTTCTTATAATGAAATAACTTAAAAAACTAACTATATAAAGCGTATTGTCAATGACTATAAATTAAACATACGAAATATATTATTTCATGTTGTAAAAATTACTATTGAAGAATAATTACTTATGTCTGTAACGAAGTTACTCGACATAAATAGATATGACAAAGAATAAACTATTCTTTTTTATGGATACATTATTAAAAACATCAAAGAATGGTGACGTTGCAAACATTCTGTTGTTTAGTTGAAATATTTATAAATAGCTATTATTGTCAGTAAGTCAGTGGTGGCCTAGTGGTTAAAGGGCTCGCCTCTCGTTACCGACGGCGCGGGTTCGATCCTGGCCCGGGCAAGTACCAATGTGATTTTTCCGAGTCATATGTACTTTCTAACACTATTTAGACATCACTGATTACTGTTGATTCCCAAAAGAGGGTTGATGTCAGGCAGGCGGCCGGTCGTAAAAACAAATAGCCAAAACTATACACAACATGTAAGGCAGACCATGGCTATAGCTGGGAAATTGCCAGGTAGAAGAAGAAGAAGAAGAGCTATTATTGTCAGTCAGAGTCAGTGGTGGCCTAGTGGTTAAAAGGCCCGCCTCTCATGTATGAGTGCGCGCGTTCGATCCTGGAAAGTACCAATGTGATTTTTCTGAATCATATGTACTTTCTAAGAGTATTTAGACACCACTGACAGACGATGAAGGAAAACATCGTGAGGAACCTGGACTTATAGTTTCACAATTATAAGTTTGAAATCACCAACCCGTCTTGATCAAACGTTTTAAAACGTTTTAAAACGATTTTTAAACGTTTTAAAACGATTAATGATCAAACATTCTCAATATGAGAAGAGGCCTTTGGTCAGCAGTGGGCTCTGATAGGCTGATGACATGACATTATTAAATTATATAAAATTTAGTTAAAATCTTACTTATTATCTTTAATAAGTTGCCAGTTAAAGAAATGAAAGATAAAGAACCCTAGAAGACACTTGATTTAAAAAAGTATTTTCAATGTTTCCCGTATTAGTGAGGCATGAACAAAATATTTTTTATCGATCGATTTAAATTTTTTTCTATTTAATTAATAAAGTTTTTTATAGAAATGTATTTAATAACTTTAGAAACTATTAATTTTTAAATAGTCATTAGGTAATAGATATTCCGATTAATAATTAACCTTAATTAGAATGGATTAAAAATGACTATTTAAGCGTTTTATACAGTTTACCGATTCATTCCAGTTTTGGACATTGTGAAGCAGTTTAAACAATAATCACTATGAAGTGTATTGTAAGTATATAGTTCTTTTATCTCTTCCTACAACGATTTCGTGATACTTATTTAAGTATACTAAAGTGCCTTTAACAATGTTTTTAAAATAGTTCATATCTTTCAGATCTTGACGATTATCTGTTTTTCAGTCTTATCAAGTTCTCATCGCCTTGGTTTTAGGAGACCTGATAATGATTTCGATACAGATATAGATTCTGAACTTGGATCGGACTTTGGAACGGATTTTGATGTGGATGCACCGGCTATAGCTAATGCTGAGGCGGTCGCTGAAGGAACAGGGACGGCAAAAGCTAATGCACAAGCTGTTGCAAGCGGTTCAGGACGAGCTAATGCTGTAGCTAAAGCTATAGCAAATTCCATGTCAAACATGTTCGGACCACGATCACAAAGTGCAAGTAGCTATGAAAAAGGATTAAATTTTGGTGAAAATCAGTTCGATAGTGGTGCTAGTGGGAGTGAAAGTCAAAGTTTCTACAAAAAAGGTCACAAAGACTTCTACAATCACGAACATCATCACAGCAAAGTAACTAAAGTAAGTAAAAATGTTTTTAATTATGTTCTTTTATATACAGCTATTCAATTTACAATATTTATGTAGATTGAGCAAGCTGAGACCAGTGACGAACATGATGTTGGCGGTACTCAAGCCAACGACGAGGGTGCTCATAAATCAAAAGCCTTCGATAAATACGATAACGGTGCCAGTTTCTTTGGAAATAACTTCGAAAGTGACGCCCAAGAAGTTGCGACGACACTCTAAAAACAGTTTAATGAAATAAACTATTAATTAAAATTACCTTTGCCTTTCATTAACTAACCCAACCTATTATGTGCATACAATTAAATGTCTTCCGTAATTCATGTAACATTTAAGAATAATCTTTTTTTCGGTATTGACTTAATTACTCGCATGTGAAATAATAGTTTACATATTATTTCTTTTTTTGTTATTTTTTTTTATTAAAAGCTATTCATTTAACGAGAAACTAACATATTATAATTCACGTCCAAATGATCTCACAACGATATTGGATAAATTCTATCACTTGGTCACGAGAATAGTATTTGATTATATTAAAGTAAATTTCTATATCCACAGAACAGATGAAGAAATATTCCAAAGAGTTTTACCTATTTTGTACACAAATAACACTTTTATAACTGTTTTTTGTACCTTAAATGAAATTTCACTCGGTAAACATGGTCGTTTGTTTAACATCTGTATCAGATTTATATTCGGGCAACTTAAATTTGATCAACTCTCTGACTACCAAAACCAACTGCTATCTCTACCATTTAGAAAACATAGAAATGTTAGCTTACCTTGTCAGATATATTATATTTTATTTAATTAGTGTACAGTCACATATATCAAATCTAGATTTTTCTTTTTGTCCCATATTCAAGACAGATGCCTAAATTACTCGAGACTAACACTCCTTACCTCGATCTGGGTTCAAGTCTAATTCATTTCAATTTAGAACTCTCAGACTTTGAAATAACTTATTGGAGTAAATTTGGAAAGCTTTTTCACGTTATTATTTCAACAGTTTAGTAAAAAAATATTATTTTGAAGCTTTAATTGCGTGATAATAGTAGTGCATGTTTTTTACTAGTTCTTATTTTATACATTTTTTTTGTTTTATTTTGTAATATAAGTTAACCGTTCAATATTTTGTATTCGACCAGTGTGGTTTTGGGACTAATTTTATTTTATAAAACATTATTTATATTTGCACAGCCTTAACGCTCTTTTATCTACATTTCTGGAGGTACAGAATTAATATTAGCATTAAGCTTCTGGTTTGTTCAAACCGTTAAAATGTATTTGCAATGAGAAATATTACAATAAAGGCTTATTTTTGTATGACGTATGCATTGAACAAGGGTACTGAAGTTGTCAGTTGGGTTACACGTAAAGATTTATCTATCTGTTATTTAACTTTCAAAATTCCTGTTTATACTCTACCGATATTATAACGACAAAATATTCATTATAGAGAGGAATTGTTTTATTTATCAATATTATAAAGATGGATTATATTAATACAATATATCAGTAAAAAGTTTGCATGATAAATCCACTTGGGAGCATTTATCCAAATGTACGAGTAATGACATCGTTATCATACCTTTGTCGCAATTTAAATAGTAATATATTATAATCCAGGTCATTATCCTTAATTATTTTTATTTTATTTTATTTTAATTGATCCAAATCAATTAGTGATTTTGAAGATATGTGTTATATAATATATATGTATTGAAATTAAAGGACACAGCACTTAATTCTTTTGATTTCGGATATGAAAAGAAAGAAACAGAAAAACTTTGTTTTATTATTATGCAACTTAATAGTCTTTTCTGTCTGACTGGAAATATGCTGACTACGATCTTATACATAAATATCTCCGATATAAACAACGTTTGCTAGTGAAATTTCTTGATACATAACATGTCGTTCAAGGAAATAAAGTTCTAGAGGTATCATTACACAGTGGAATAAGGTACAATTGATATCGTAAGCTACACTTTTTTATTAACGTTTCCTTTACAAATGATAGCATATAATATTTTATTAATAATGGTATACAAGACTTTAGCCAGTTTTCATTTAAAAAAACAACTGCCAGAGACTCTCATCTCGTTTGACCGTGATCACAGTTGCTATCAAGCAACAGAAAAGTCGGGAGTGTAAAGTTTTAACTAATAATTCTCAATACTTGCAGTATTGAGAAACTAACGTACTTTTGATAGGTGGTAGAGCCTAGCTGTGGCCTAGTGTGGCCAGCTCGAACATGGGCTGGCTCGACCGGGGAAGTACCACCCTCTCACAAAAGATCGGCTTGAAGTAGCCTTAGTTGCTGCGTTTCGTTCGATGAGTGAGAGTGCCGGGTGCTCTTTCCCTTTTTCCATTCTTTCCTACCCCTTCCCTTTATCCTCCCCTTACCATTTTTCCTCCCCCTCTTCCCAAATCAAGGGTGGTGACACATCCGCAACATGTCTTATGTCGCGGATGTCTATGGGCGACGGTACTACCTCCATCAGGTAGGCCGTCTGCTCGGTTGCCTCCTTTAACATAAAAAAAAGAAACTTTAATATATTTTTTGTTGTTAAAAAGTAAAGGTGTAGTATTTTTAAGAGAAGCTTGTCAATACATACAAAGGTCAGTCTTTTAAATGTAAGTAGTTCATATATAGGTTCTTACTTTTAACTTACATTATCCAAAATAATAGTTTTTAAAAACTAAAAAACACGCTTTTATAGCAAATCGAACTAGAAACTTATTTAGTACGATTTATCAATTCACTCTCATAGAGGATCTATGAAAAGAATATATTAATCCTGGCGGCCCTAACAAGGGTAATGGGAAATTGTTAATGAATTATTGCATTGTCATTGGTCCTTGAGATATATGCAAAGTTTCAAGTTGCTCAAATATTCCGTTACATCTGTACATAAAATTGTAGAAAAGTGCTGTCTGTACATTGAAAATAAAAATAAAAAAAATAGCAGGGGTTATTGTTATGTCGATGTCGAACCCAAAAATGTAATTAACTTTTTTTTTGTCTGTTTGTCTGTTCACGCTAATCTCAGAAACGGCTGATCCGAGTTGGATGCGGTTTTCAAGAATATATTGTGGTATGCTTCAATTATGCTTTAGTGTTTGTTTCATGTCAATCGGTTCATAAATAAAAAAGTTATGTCAAATTAAAGAATCACGTCGAACACTATTCTATACTTATACATACATAGGCACCATTAATCGCATAGTGTTAATAAGTCGCGGGCACAGCTAGTACATACATATGTATGTACATACAGCCTAATATAAGCGTATTAAAAATATTTATTAAAGAACTTATATCTGTATTAGATACATACATAAACGTACACATAATACATTGAAATGACACGGTTTTAAAAAGGAATACCGATTTTGGGAATGAAAATATTCTTGAGTCGAAATAATAATCTTCGCATCTAAAAAACTTTGTTAATCTGATATTCATGACATATTAGTGAAAATATTAACGATAGTTCACTTAATATTTATGCGTTCACTAACAGAATTGTTCCGAGGATTGACACATATTTCATCATATGAGTTACATTTGTAGAAATACCAGTCTTTCACTTTTGTAATGTCAAGTTAAAACGGTAAAGAATCATATTCTTTACATTCTTCCCGGGGTCTTAATATAATAAAGTTTCCTAGAAATTTTATTAACTTGGATAATCAACTGGTTTTACTAATCAACTAATAATGGTTAAATATTTATAATCCGCACTTAATACTCTAATCATCTCTTATAATTATTTCACTTTTGAATTATAAATATATAGTAAATACCCATAATTAACAACCAATTAAAATCAAACAAGTATAAAAGACACATTGCTGTTGTTAGAAAATCATTCCACTACACAACATCACACAACATCATCGAACGAATAAATCATTAAACGTCCAAAATGAAATTTACGGTATTTATCAAATTCTTGTATCTGTATATGATCCTTGCATAACGTTGAATGAATCTTTTCCATAGCTATATATATAATATGTATGTAATTGTTTCAGGTGTTCTCCATGCTCGCTTGTGTCGTAGCACTCGAGGCTAAGCCACGACCCTATGTTGGATACGGGAACGGTATGATCGATCTCGGTGCAACTGGCGCTGGAATGGGAGCTCCTAGGTTAGGTAATCGTCTAACCAATCCACTAGCAATGGATGGATTAGGATACGGAACTAGCGGTTCTGAATTTAGTAGAGGCAGCGGCTTTGGAGATAGTGCTTACAGTTCTGGTGCGAGCGGTTTGGACAGCAGAGGATTCCACAATGGCGGAAGGAGAAACTTCCATGATATTGGACAGCATCACAGCAGCCGCACCTCGGTAAATTATAATTAAATATATCTGAAGCAAAAGCTACATACTCTTACAGCAACACAGTCTATAAGTTGTATTTTTGTTCCTCCTTTAGATCAATCACGCCGAGAACACAGACAACCATGACGTCGGCGGCAGTGAATTCTATGACACTGGAGCCCAATCCGGTACTGGTTTCAACCAATTCGGCAACGGTTTCAACAGATACGGCAACGATTACGGAAGAGGACGGCAAATGACGTCATTTCTGTGAAAATTTACCAGTGTCCATGTATTATAATGAATAAATACCTAAAAAAATATTTATTTTTCATTAAAATTTCAAATTACTTAATTTTCTTAATATGTTTATCAATTATTTTGTTTTAAAATTCATTTTATACAATATGTGCATGTTCTCATATTTAATAATAAAATAAAATTGCTTTTGAATTTTTGAAATAATAAAATCAAAAAAAGATTCTATAAAAAACATATTGCATGTTAAAACAAATCCTTTTGAAAAAAAAAGTTTACATTTGGCTTAATAGTTTTAAATGAAATATACTGTTACATAAAAATTTCATTCATTCATTCATTCATTCATTATCAAATAACAAATCATGATATTTTTTCAAATATATCCTATTATATTTGAAAAAATATGATTACAGTGATCTCCTTACACAAAGTAGGTACGGGGCCGTCGGTCATATTCCAGATATTGGAAAAGCTTGCTATTAGTCCCGTTATCGTTTATCGTACTTTTATCAACAGATACAATTACATTTCGTCCGTCGAAGACCAGAATGATGGCCAAATGCTGTAAGAACTACAAAGGTTTTTAAGACCCAGATTCACCAATCAATGTTAAATAAGTAACATCGTGTTAATGCGTTTGATGCTCTGTCAGATGTATCGAGCGTCCCACCACGCACAAATGTCCGTTTAAATATCTTAACCAGCCACTTTATTAATTCCTGCTTTGGAGCTCGGTCTAATGGCTAACAGAATGTTAATAGCATTGTCAAAACTCAATTGTCCAATCACAGCCCTGATTTCTTGTAACCATAGTAACGTCATCTGTTTTGTCAGTTTCGACTATTTCCTTGTTATTATTAATAAAGTGAATTAAAATTTCATTTAGTATGATGATTTTGCCTCTAGCTTTTCTATGACATTGCAAATTAAGTTTTCTTTTTATTTCTTATAATTTGAAGACAATTTATGTGTCTATATTTATAACACAATAATATATAACACGATTTTGACAAGTAACACCTAGTAAATTGAAAAGAAAGCTTTTTGTGTGCTAAATGTATGCAACCAACGATATATAAAATTTACAAGTGACGTATCGAGGCATATGTACGATCAAAGTATAAAGTGGTGCATCGTGGCAAACGTGCCGTGTTTAAACGCTATAGTTTCCACTTGGTCGTCTTATAACAAGAACGAATAACTTGGCAGTCGGTCATTTGACATGACGTTTAATAATGCGTTGTTTAACGGACATTAATAATTTTGAAGGTTGGTTAGTAAATGCTGTGATTAGACTAAACAAACATTGATTGGTGAAACTGGGTCTAACTCTCTAATATTCATCAGTAAACGAAGTACCATTTAGTATATAATTTTGGTTTGTAATGCGTGTTTAATATTCTCCAGGAAAACTTTAGTAGTAGTTACTGAAGCCAACATTGGCTTATCCTTAAAATACAAATTAAGTGACATTTAAAAAAATAATCTTGTATCTATCCAATACAATCACATTTTAATCAGAGAAAATTAAATCTAATTTCTTAATTTTTAGAACACTACTGTTAGAGAGGCAAACGTTGACTTTGCCGATTTATCTTGAGTTTTGAAATTATCTATTAGTGATTTGAATTTGTACTTCATAAAATTCAAAATATAAGCTTTAAAAGCTTAGGCATACGACTTATAATCGATTGAAGTATAGGTAATTGAACAGGACAAACATAACAGCGCCGAAAACTATGCTTATATAAAATGGACTCATTTTTATTTCTTCAATAATTGATTTTTTCATATAATTTTGGTCTAATATAAAATTCGAAATAAAAAAAAGAAATACAAATTAAAAATATATTAAGTAAATAGAATAATTTAATACATAATTATATGACTTATAACGTGGCTTCCACTTGTGTGGCCTTTTCCATGTCATTCATAAATCTACTGGCTCCATTATCATGTTTATTAAACCCACTCGCTTGATGAGCGCCTACATCATAGGACTCACTGCCGCCGACGTCGTGCTCGTCACTGGTTTCAGAATGCTCGATCTATAAAACAATATTAAATAGTGAAAATTTGGTTGGACTTGAATAATTGAATTTGTCATTGAAAGATACTCGAAGTTACATACTTTAGTGACGCTGCTATGATGACGTGTACGATCGTGATAATCTTGTTGGCGTTTATTATGGAAACCTTGACTTTCTGCGCCACTCGCACCACTGTCATACTGATTTTCACCAACGCTAGAGCCTTTTTCGTATCTACTTGCATCTTGTGTCCGTGGTCTAAGTCCTCCTACTCTAGAATTTGCAACAGCTTTGGCTACAGCATTGGCATTGCCTGAACCCCTTGCTACCGCGTTTGCGTTTGCTGTTGCCGTTCCACCACCGGTTGCTACTGCCTCCGCATTAGCTACAGCGGAAGCATCACTATCAAATCCTCGTGCAAGGTCAGATCCAAGATTCGTATTATAATCTGAACCCAGGGCTCCTCCAAAGTGATTTCCTAATCTTCTAAAGCCAAGATGATGGGACTTAACTAAGACTGCAAAGCAGGCAATCGTCAAGATCTGAAAAAAATAATGCATTTAACGAATATTAATATGCTTTCTACACTCTGAAAGTTATTTATATATAATTTGTCATAGGAAACTGTCTTGGTTTAAGGTTTAATTATGTACAACATTTATAATTATTAATAGCACTGTTTGTTTCCAAAATATAAATAAATAAAAGATTAGAAAGGGAATCGCTTGAAGCAAAAGCGATATTGTGAAAGAAATAAAGTCAATACTTACAATGCACTTCATGGTTTTATTGAGTTGAGATATGGTGACTACACAACGACCTGGGCTGAAATGTAAAAAATAAATTTCTGGAGACACTTATATACTCATTTTAATCCATAAAGCTATCCATTTTGATTATTATTAAACACCTTACTAATCATTAATTACCTAATTACTATTACAGGGACTCAGTAAATGACTACTAATTAACGTAAATTAACAAAAGTGTACCTTTACAGAACACACTAATTATACATATATGTTTTAAAAATAATTGGAATATGCTAATTTGATAAAAATAAGTTATTTTAAGTTGCCAGTAGCTGTTATCAGCCACTCTGCGTAAAAAATAAAACAAATGAAAAACTTTAAAGCGCCGTATGTAATAACACTAAATTTAGGGCTCGGAATAAAAAGCAGCATTCAATTTATACATAAACATGTTATCAATTTAATGTAAGTATATAAAATTTTACTAATAATCTATACTTTTTATAAGTAATACATTTTAATTTATCACTTCCGTCGAGTGTTTCCCGACACACAACATTTTTTATTACTGAAATATTGCATACTCGTATTTAGTTTCCTCAAATCTTTAACCTATCAGAGCCCACTGCTTAACAAAAGCTTCTTTCTCACATGGAGAAGGTTTGAGCATTTATCACCACGCTTGCTCAAGACGGGTTGGTGATTTCAAACTTATAATTGTGAAACTATAAGTCCAGGTTTCCTCACGATGTTTTCTTTCATCGTCTGTCAGTGGTGTCTAAATACTCTTAGAAAGTATAATATATGACTCGGAAAAATCCCATTGGTACTTGTCAGGATCGAACCCGCGCCCTCGGGTACGAAAGCCGAGTCCTATAACCATTAGGCCACCGCTAACTTGAGTTTTCTCATGGCAAAGCAAACTTTTGCTATATTATAGAAAGTTATATTCTTTATCAATTTCTCGAATATTAATAAGACTATTTAAACTATCTGACAACACGTCATTTTGCGTACCATAATTTTTTATACCTATCAAGTTGATTTCAAAACTATTCATAAGTTATTATAACATTAAAAAAAATAAACTATTTCATAAAAAAATTCTTATCATTAAATCATAATATAATTCTATTAGTTTATCTGTTTCTCAGCACGCCTTTGAAAATTAATTGTTTTATTATGTATTGAGGAGATAAAAAAAAACGAGTTCAGAGTTCAATAATAAAAGGACCTGTGTATTGCATCAGATTAGCTACACTCACTTGATGTACGAATTTCATCATTGAATTACATCTGTTTATTATTAATTAATTACGATAATTGAATATTTTCGTTTCAAATAATCGGTGATGTAATAATGAAGAATTTTTGGATGATATGTCGTCATCTACGTTTATAAATAGATAATATATTTATGTATATTTTCTTACTTTCTTGTTCTCATGTATATGTAACCGATCTACTTATTTCTAATTCTATTGGTCCTGCCAAAATACGAAATAGAGGCTGTACATGTACATTCTTCTGGTGTTTTATCCGACTGGTTTGAAAAAAAAAGAGTATATTATGTTTTAAAATGTATTCAATGGACCGGTCGCGGTGTATGTATTATTCATATTACTAGCTTTCGGCCCGCAGCTTCGCCCGCGTGGAGTTCGGTTATATCGCGTTTCCAAGAGAACCTTTCAAAAGTCTGGGATAAAAACTATCCTCTGTTCTTTCTCAAGGTTAGCTCTATGTCTGTACAAATTTAATTAAAATCAGTTCAGTGGTTTAGGCGTGTAAGCGTAACAGACAGACAGACAGACAGAGTTACTTTCGCATTTATAATATTAGTAGGGATAACTCACTTATGACACATAGTATCAGAACATCAAATCATATAGTTAAAATATACCTGTTGAGTTTTGCGAGGGTTTAATATTTTGTTATAGCAAAGTCATGTGCTTTAGAATGAAGAGGGCATGGAATAAATTTGTATCGATGCTTTTGATTACATCTCAGTATCGTTCAGATGTCTATGATGTTCCAACTAAAAGGCTACCAAAGGCAAAAGCAGTAGCTTTAAAAAATAATTATAACTGATTAACGTAAATAATATTTTGCTTGAATTTACACTAAAACTATCCACACATAGATTCGATCATGACTAGTTTGATATATTGAATTATAATTACAAAAATACATTGTTTATTTATTATTTATCTAATGAAATATTAGTAGCTTTTCTTTATGTTAAAGGCGGCAAAATGAGCGGACGGTCTACAGATATTTGAAACAAAAGCAATGTTGCGGATGCTTTGGGGATAATGATTAATGATTGTTGGGGATTGAGGTCAGGGTGGGAATATGTGGGAATGGGAAAAAGAGTGGGACAGGGAAAAAGCAACCGGTTCTCTCACTCATCAGATAAAACGCTGGCATTAAAGACTACTTCACTAAGATCTTTTGTCAGAGGGTAGTACTTCCCCGGCTGAAACTGTAAATGTTCGAAATGAAGTAACTTGTACCGTAAATGTTTTTAATGTGAGGTCATTGAACTACCTATAGAAAAAAGTGTATAGATATTAAAACGTATAATAATATGAGTAAACGAAAAATCTTTTTGTACATAATCATCTTTACTTATATTTTTGTAAATATTTTTAACTAATTAAATAATTATTATCTTTTATATTGATGATTGATAAAAAATTATGACTCTTCATTTGATGATGATATTTAAGACCGACTCAATAAACAATATATATATCGGATTTATCAAAGATTCGTTGTTTTTAAAGAGAGAGACGCCAGCCTCGCTGACGTTACAAATAAAATGTCACTTCTTTCAATACGTTCCATGATTTTTTAAAATAAAACTTCAATTGTTCTTAATGTTCCTATATTTCTTGAAGGTTCTTAATAATCACATACTTCAATGATACGCACTCACTGAACTCTGAATTCTGCCGTCGTGCATCCAGACGTCTTATTTATATCAAAATTTAAACATAGTTCTATTCTCCTTTTAAACAATATTTGATTTCGTTTTACTTTTAACAATAATCATGAATACTAAATATATAAAATATATATAAAAATAATACTAACTGTTCTCATAAATCTCATTAAATAATGAATTTTTATTGTAAAACTTGTTTCATTAATAATAAAGATATTTTTCAAAAAATGTTATTTTATATCTCGTCTTTCTCTTCACAGGATTATGTAATTTTAAAATAATAGAATACACATAGTTTATCCCAATTAGTTAGATAGTGACCTACACCTGGGTCACAAGTCCCAGTCACTGTTGAAGCTCCTCTCACTACAACGATGGACCCGACACATGCACGGTGCATCCGTTGAATGATGAAAGGTTTCGTCTCTTTATTTATATGAATACTCGCGAAAGTGTAAGATATCGTTATTATGATTATATTTATTTTATGAAAAAAATATTTCAGTTTTTACATTAAAAAATTTAAGGTTAGATATATTATTATTAGATAGTAGTAATTTCGAAAGGAATTTGAAATTTTGTATCGGTAGACCACTAGGTAAATAATTTATTTAATTTTCTCCTTACTGCATACGCGTTTTATTATTATTCATTTTACTCCACGTTTTGACTGCTGTCGTACACGAGAAGACTAAAAGGATGAAATTGATGTTTAAATATGTACTAGCCAAAGGCTTATGGGAAAATCAATATGTTTTTCTAAAGGTGTTATAGTAATAAAAAAATTCTTACTAAAGACAAAAATGTATGAAATTTGAAAATGTCTTTTAGGGCCCCTCATAAAGTTCGTTTAAAGTTGTGAGGGTATCACTGAACTGTCACATCGAGTCACAAGAGGCATGGGATGGGTTAATAGTTTTGTGACGTCACATATTAGAATTTCAAATTCTAAAACGCAAAGCTTGGATGCGTATTGAAAATTTCTTAAATTTACGAAAGATCAAATTCGTATTATATTTATTAATTATTTAGCATTCTCGCTCTTACATAATCCCTCATGCAACTACTTTTTCTCTCTCTCTAACTTCTAGAGTGGCTTTGTAATGCAAGTGAGATATTCAAAATCACGAGAATTTTGAATGGTATGGATTTAAATAGGTTTAAGGAAGTTCAAGCTAATGTAATGTAAAAAATAATGTTAAGTAATAATGAAAAAGGTGACGTTATATGAGGAAGGTTGGATTTTAAAAAAGTAACAAAACGGAAGGAGGGTTTAAAAAGTCCTAAAATTCAAGTGAGATTCTTTATGGAAAGCCCCTTACAACAATTCATTCAAAACAGGAAATATCTTTATCTGGAACAAGGTTAAATAATTTTTAAAATAAATACTTTTTATTTTTATCATACATATTATATATATTTTTATTATACCTACAGTATATTTCTTCCGCTTCAGCCGAGGGTCATGTATCTGATTGGTGATCGTACCAACCAATCCACATTACCAGATAACGCATCAGTAATTTTATGACATGTTATCAATTGTCATTTTATTAAAAAATATGTATAATTATATAAAGAAAACGCCCATTATCTTACAATTCAATGATATATTAGGTTTTTTTACGTAAATTAATCAGTCAAAGGATGTTTAATTTTAATTTTATTGATTACTTTATATAAATATTGTATGTATTTGGAAAGGAAAAATTATACCAAAAATTTTGCATATACTTTGACGATTAAAAATCTACATTTCAATACATTATTCTATTATTACCTAAATAGAAATACAGTTTTAAATCCAAAATGAATTATAATAATAATTTTCTCTAATATCATACTAAGTTTTATTCTCAAAAAATAACAATGAACCCCTTTATATACACGTGTAAGTCGCGAAATAACTGACGAAATTTTAATCTTAAATTTATATAGCATAGATAAGAACTATTAATAAAAAATTGGCAATATTCCTAGTACTTGACCTCTTACAATCGATTAATATAATAATAATATAACATTATGTATATTAAGGAGTCAGTGGTGGCCTAGGCCTAGTGGTTAAAGGGCCCGTCTTTCG